TTCCAAAAGGGAAAAATCGGAAAATGAGACTGCTTTTTGTATGCCAAAGTTTATTTAATTTAGCAAGCGAGAAGTTGGTGATATTGCCAACTTCAATATTGATTCAGTTACTGTGCATTACTAGACAGCTTCTCTAGATTGGGACTTTGTGGTGGTCCAGTTAAGTGATTGTGATTGGCATGACAGAGATCCATGAGAGAGGGGTTTAATTCATTGAAGTTATAAATGTTTTGAGTTGTTATCTTGGATTATTAGTTGAGGTGTATTATATTGTTTTATTTCTTTGGCAACCGATAAACAGATGGCCTTTTATATCATCTTAGAATATTCTGCTTTATGTTTTACTACTTCAGCTTACTTATGCTCCATGTTCAGATAAGCCATCATTATGGTGCTGGTAAACTTGTATAATCTCTGCACTGTTCTTGTTTTGTCGCAATCTACTTGGGTTTGTATCTCATTCTGGTCAGCCTGGGAGTTATGCTTCTTTTCACCATTTCTTTGTATGATTGCTGGGGCTAGAATTTTGGAGCAAGTGTTTTACCTTGATATTTCTTGTTCTTTTGTTGATGTTTTCTTTTCTCTCGGAATATTTGGAGAATAGAGCTGTCTATCATGCTCATCTTTGCTTGGTTGTTTTCTCTTATAGATTGCTCAAAGGAATAGCTTGGATGTTGATGTCGACCTGGCTTTGGGATTTGCTTCCCATTATGGTAAAATTGGAACTATGGAATGTTTAGTGGAAGAAGGGAACGCAATGGCATTCTTGGGACCTTTGATGAGAGCTGCCGAAAGGGGCTCCATGCAGGTAGTTGACTGGTTTGTTAAAAGGGGTTGCAGAGACATGGAACTATGTCTGGCCCTCACCGCTGCTACTTCCAGTAGTCAGGTTGAAGTTGCTCGATATCTCCTTCCACACGTTCCTCAGCATGTTCTAACTGCCCTAAGCATTGAGATTCTTAAGGCTGCTGGTGAAAGAAGTAGCGGGTCTCTTGATGGAGTAGCATTTCTCCTAAGTTCAGACTTCCTCGGCGATCCCATTGCCACTTATGCTGTCGCGGACAGCATTGCTAAGTCCGATGACGAGGCTGTGGCTCCTGCACTCAGGTCTTTCCTTCGAGAGCATTGGTCAGAAGCTGCTTTCTCAGACGGACTTAGGCAGGGACAAGAACACTACTGTAACCTGGTGCGTATTATCAAATGGGGGGAATCTCCCGTGTGTTTGAGGGACATTCCAGGGCCATTGAGGATAGCAATAGCATACCTGCCACTGTATAGGGAATGTGTCAAGGCAGGGGGTTGCTTGTTATCACAAAGACTTAAGGGCCAGCTTGTGGAAGCAGCAAAAAGGCTTGATGGTGTAGTGCTGGAAGAAGTAAAGCAAGGGAGAGAACTATTGGCTGTTTTGGAGCATCATCTTCCTCCATTTTTGCATAGTAATGCATCCAATGCTGCTTAGTTTTTGAATATTTTCACATCTTGTCTCTGCACAAGTATAATAACACAATGATTGGTGCATTGAATGTGAGCAAGAAGCCCTCTTAAGGTTGGTCAATTATCTTAATGAACCAGACCAGTAGATTACCTTTGTGTTGGCTTAAGATAATTGTATCTGCAGAGAGTCTACAATTTGCATATTCTGATGTGTATGTTGAGTAACTACATTCACAAGCCTGGGAACTCAAATGGGCATGCAATATTGGCTATTTTCATGGCGCTTCTCCCACTTGTCTTCTTACGCGACCGAACATATAAACACGTGGTGTGTCTTTTTGTCACCGATTATGAGTAACTAATACTCCTTTCGTCCCAATTTGTGTGATGTTTGATCGGGCATCGAGTTTAAGAAGATAAGGAATATGTTTGATTTTGCATTGAGTTTAAGGAGATCAGAAAGATAAGCTATTGTGTGGTCTTAAATCTCTCATTAAGGATAAATAAAATATTTACTGAGGTTAAATTGTTTTTAAATATAGAAAGAAATACATAAATTAGGATGGATCGAAGGGTTATATGGTATCACTTCAATTGATCACTTAATCATGTTAAACTAATGTGGTATGGTGTAATATTAGGTGTTGAAAAAAAATCGTTTTTTCTTCTTGGATTTGTTGCTAATTAGCACTATTTAGCTATGAACTAAGGGTTTATCATGAATAATTTTTTTATCTTATAAATGTAGGAATAAGGTTTGCGTATATTGAATATGATGTTATTGTTAACAATATTTAGCTATAGATATCAAGGTTTTATGAGAATTAAAAGAAGTTTGATCCCATCATATACCTTTTAAAGAGGTTTGATACTGACAAATGTGTTATATTCTTATATTCTTTTTTCCTAATTTCAATGTTTCTTTCGACTTTCAACTTGTTTCATGGATTAGAAAGAAAGCTACTAACAATACCATGCAACATCAAGCCTAGTCCAAATCTTGACATACATCAAACTTACCAACATCATAAAAATAAGAAACAAGATACACTTCCTTCTTAAGTTGGACTTTAACTTTTTCTTTAGCCTCTGGGCTCAAAGAAGCCTTGAGCCCATAGTGCTTTCTTAAAGCTTGTAACTTATTTTCTTCTTCTTATTGTTTTAGTTTAATCACTTGAGTGAATCCATTTTAATAAATAACTATTGTATTTAAACATATTTTTTCAATTATAGCAATCCAATGTATTTTATTAGATTTCTCTCTATACACTTTTTCTATGCGCTCTATCTCGGTCTCTCTATATTGTGAAAAAAAAACGGTGCTTCTATCAAAGGCCAAAGAACTAGGATTTACATTCTCATTCATAGAGAAGTTAAGACTATTTTCATAGGTCAAAAAACAGGATTGATTCAGTTTGCTGGAGAAGTGGCTAAATCTCATCTGTTGCTTTGGTGTTGGCGGTGATTTTCATTCTAATGACTGTTATTTTAACAATCGTATTCAAACTCGACGAATATCTGAAGATATGGAGTTTTGAATGTATGAGAGTTTGAAGATATGAAAAATTGAATATATGTAGATATGAAAGTTTGAAGATATGAAAATATAATTTTTTGAAGATTGTATTAAAACTGAAATGTTCCTGTCTAGGCTACCTACTCCATAAGAGTTGCAGGTGTGTCATGTACTATCTAATTACCTCTCCCTAATACTTTTTCGGTCTACCACTACTTTTCTCATACCCACCATAGCCAACCTTTCACACCTCCCCACTAGAACATTTGAGTATCTCCTCTATACATACCTAAGTCATTTAAGTCTGATCTCCTTCATCTTGTCCATCCTGAAAGTCAATCTAACTTATCTTGGATATTCGAGTTCCTAATCTTATCTCTCCTAGGAGCATGCATTTATCTCAACATTCTCATTTACGCTACTTAAATCTTTCTTGACCAACTAACACTCCACTCTCTACCACATAACTGCAACATAACTGTTCATTTAAGATAAGCCATAATAGACTATTCAATCAGTTTAACTGTTATAAATTCATTTGAACTAATGAATTGTCCATTGAGTTTATCCATAAACTTATACTTATCATCTATGTGTATTTCCTAGGTTATATGAACCTTTTTGGATAAGTATGTATCTATTTATTATGATACTTAATATGGTGACTCTTAGAATGATTTTTCAACCTATAAATAGGGTTGTTCATTCACCATTGTAAATGACACACACATGAGACATGAAGACATTTGAATAAAATGATCTCTACATTCTACTCCACATTATGTCTTGTCTATATTGCTTGTAGTATAGTGCTTATATTTTACAACATTAACAAGTTTCTCACTATTTTTTTAAATTATCATTCTGTGCTTTCTATAAACAACCATATATATTAGTAAGATTCTATTAATATGATAATGTATTTTTTTATTTTATATAAAATTAAGTGCATTTTAAAAAGCTAAGAGCTAAAAAACTACAAATCCAAATAGCATTAGATTCTTTTGAGGTAACCAAAATATTAAATAAAAGTCATATAATTTACAACTTTTTAATCTCTGAAGGTAAGGTCATTGATGTCATTAGAAAATTTAAATATATTTACTTGTTATTTTTGTTGGTGAGGGACTATTCATATCAATTACTCATTTTAAATATTTTTTTCCCCATTAAAAGTAAAATGAGTTTCTTTTATCACACGGCTAATAAGAAAATCAAAAACATAAAAGCTTAGTTGAATTAAGGAATAAAAAACAATTTTAACTATCCTATTTTATTGAGTTCCATATTTGAATTATTGTGCGTGTGAGTTTTTTACTTGAACTATCACTCAATGACCCAATGATTAGCGAAATACGCCTAGAGTTTGACTCGACTAGATATTTGTCTAGAAATGTTTCTAGGTGGGCTTGTCTATAAAATCTTCGTCCACCCGACATATATAACCACTTTATTTGCTGAGACATTAATTTTTTAAAATATATTTTTAATTGACTTTTTAAAACCCTTAAACTCTCCCCCTTCAAATAGGAGATATTGAATGCCACATCATATATGAAACCATGACTAAGAAGGTGGAGAAGAAGATGGTAGACTAGATATCACAGTTGAAATAAATTAATTTATACGGACAATTTTAACCCTTAATTTTTTTTAACTTTTAACCTAACATTAATTTATTTAGACTTGTCACAGGGAAATTATTTTTTGAGTGCCACGTGATAAAATTTTTAAACAAAAGAAAAAGTGTACACACATCATCAAAAATAAGTCAGAGGTGTATTTTGCTAACTATTGAGTGATAATTCAGATATGAAACTCAAAAAATTAAAATAATTTAAGATATGTTTTTGATAATTAACTCAAAAATAAAATGAGTTTCTTTTCTCACATAGTTAATAAAAAATAAAAAATAAAAAATAAAAAGTTTAATTGGGAATTGGCATGTCCGTTCGATTTGCTTGTTTTGCACATCACGGGTCGGGTCGGGCCGGGTCATGGATCCTTGTAAATACTGAGAGAAACGGCATTTTGCCCCGCCATTTTTCAATCAAAAATTCAAATAAAGCAGTAGCAGATGAACTAGAGAGAAGCTTCAATTCGAATTTTTCGTGCTAGGGTTTTGATTCCATAGGATCCTTACATTTTCACCGGAGATTTTCGAATTCGCGGAGGTTATGTGGAATTTCTACAGCTTTATAATAGTTTTCGAATCTCGCGATTTGGTGTTGAATTGAAATTGTTTGATTTCGTTTATTTCTTCTCTGTGATTTTCAGGTTGAGATTTCAAATTGGAGAGTTTTAATCTTCGAAGTTCCGAATTTGTTCTGATTATTCAAATTCTGTAAGTACGATGCAAAATAAATCTCGCTGTCCCTGTTTTATTTTTTTGTAATATTTTGTTGATTTCGTGTATATTTCTTCAGTGATTGCAGATTTGTTTCATTTGAAGGTTTTGGATCAAAATTTTGGGGAAATTCCAGTTATTAAGCTCGTTTGAAGGTGAAGATTTTTTGCTAAATCACTTGATATTCTAATTTGCTTTCCTACTGACAGGATCTAGAAAATTTGTCATGTTTTTATATAAACTGAGTGTTGTGCACTATAAGTGTAGTAGCTGATAGCTAATTAGTTAAATTTGCTTATACTTCTGTTCATTTATCTCGGTTGATGCATAGTCGTGATGTTTTTATTTATTAAAAAGTTGAGTATTCATCAACATGTAAAAAACTGATTTTTCAATACATAAGCAGCAAGCAATTTCACGTGATAGTTAACTTGCTTTTCTACAGTTATCAAAGCATGTTTTGTGTTTTCCAGTTAGTTTTCTTCAGCTATCCAAGTATGAACCCTGATATTTCAAAAGTTTATACGAAGCTAGAGGTTTCAGCTATGGATATTCTAGCTGCCACTAGGCAGTTCTTCTTTCACATAAGCATGTTTGAAATTGGATTAGCCAGATACAACTGGCTGTTAAGTGGTTTTTCTATTTGTGACATTTGAGATGCAAAGTTAGTTCGGCGATGTTGTCAACTTTTTCGTAGGGAAAATTAGTCATTTTTCATTGACTATTCCTCTGTCTACGGCTGTAGAACGCATGGGATCAGAAATGTTATGCTCAGAATTTTTAATGATTACAGAACTTTGTATAATGTGCTATGAAATTGACAATCATTTCTGAAGGTTGAGATGAGATGCAATGCTTGCTGGCGAGAATTGGAAGGACAGGCCATCACTACCACTTGTGGCCACATCTTCTGTATCCTAGTTTTGCATGTGTTCCATATTGTTTTGTGTATATTCAGGCCTCCCGAGGGAATGTCTTAGCTGTCGGTGAACTAGAGTTACAATCTTGGGAATTAAGGTTCGATTCCAGCAGAGGTGACACAAAACCCCATCTGCCAATGTCTTGGTGGGAAGTGTTATCCGCTACTATATTGGTGGTAGGTAGCAGTACTTGATGGCTCATTTGATGTGTGTGGAAGCTAGCATGGATACCCCCATAATCCATAAAAAAATAGTGTTCCCATATAGGCATGTATGGTTGCGCAGTTTTCTCATGAACGTGATTATGGTGTACAACTGCTATGATTCCTTAACAATGATAATAGGTCAGAACGATGCCAGTAAAATTCTCAGCAGTGATGCTGCTTGTCCTATTTGTGATCAAGTTCTCTCTAAAAGGTTAGTGCTATTTAGTATCACTTTCATCAAGTGCTGTTTAGTTCACCTAAAAATGAAATTTTGCAAAAGGTATATCCTAAAAATTTGCACTTTCTCTAAGTTCTTGTCCCTTTCTCCTTTTGATTTGTTTTTCTAAATCTTTTTTTGTTGGTGTGTTTGGAGGGGGGGGGGGAAGGTTATGACACTTCCGGAACATTGATTTTGTTTTCCATTGCTACATTTTATGTATTAATTGGGTTGTATTTTACTTTTAATAGCATTTATTAATCACTCAAAGTAATTTGTAGCATATTGTTGAGGCTGTTATGTAACTCTCTGATATTTTTGTTTCAGTCTCATGAAACCTGTGGACGTCAATCCGAGTGATGAATGGATAAATGTAAGCACACATTTGTGAAAGGGTTGCTCCCTTATCACTTTCTACATTTATGGTGGCCAAATCAAATTTGTTTCTAACTTATTTCTTAATCAGCATCCTAGTTAAAATTTGTTCACACCCTCATGCAGATGGTCATGGCTGGAATTACACCCCAGATATGTATCCTTCATCGCATGTCCTGTGTTGCCACATCTGTAATATTCAGTTTTACTTTTAAAACATAGTGAAGTTGGCTTAATTATATTAACATACTACTTTCCAAAGTTGATGTAGGGTAACAATATTACAGAAATGGTATTACGTTAGCTTCACTACTTTCTCCTTAATCACATCCAGTAATGAAGAGTGCCTACCGAAGTGTGATGTTCCACATTGGGCAAAAGGAATTGGAAATGCAGTTCAAGATGAACAAGATAGTAGCTCAATGCCGTCAGAAATGTGAGATGATGCAGGAAAAATTCTCTCAAAAGTTGGAGCAAGTGCATACTGCATACCAGAAGGTGGCTAAAAAGTGCCAAATGTTGGAACAAGAGATTGAGACGTTATCTAAAGACAAGCAGGAACTCCAAGAAAAATTTGCTGAGAAATCCAGGTTCGTCTTACAATACTTAAAGCAGATTCTATTTGTCCCAGGTAAAAAATTAATAAATCCAGTGGAACTGCAAAGTGCTCTATTATCCACTATAATCCATTAACTGGGGAGGTTGGAAATTGTGCTGTGGTTTACTACTAAAATCCGCTATCTTTGGTACGTTCTCTCAGAAATAACATAGGTTTCTACTGTCAGGCAAAAAAGAAAACTTGATGAAATGTACGATCAGTTGAGAAATGAATACGATTCAGTAAAGCGCACAGCCATTCAGCCAAGTAATTTCTTTTCAAGAGCAGAGCCTGATTTGTTTGCAAATCCAGCTAATATGATGGACAACAGAGATACTATGAGAAAAGGTAACTCATTTTGTATTTAGAATAATCACATGGCACATATGAGGCTAGTGTAGTTTGAAAAACATGATTTTCTTCATCTTAGTGCATGAATACTCATTGTCCAATTTCTTTGTATTTTGGGTATTTCGCTCTCAAAGCTGCATTAACCTTTTAGCAAAACATTAGTCAACTCATTTGCCGCAGATTGGTCGGTTCTCACTCCTGAAACTCCAGGACCAAGAGAAGACATATGGCCTCCAACAAGACAGAATGGTTCCAACTCTGGCCCTTTCGATGTCTCGAGTGGCTCCCCTGTTAGACAGTCAGCAGTACCAGTGGATGCTGGAAACAGAAGAGCAGGTGCACATCCTATGCTTGGCGTTGCAACTGGCGCAAGCAATCCCTCAATGACCCTTAGGAACCTCATCCTATCACCAATTAAGAGACCTCAACTCTCCCGCAACAGACCGCAGATGTTCACGTAAGCCACAAACTTTACATCCAATAAACTAATATGTGAGAGCAAAATTTTTACAAATATTTGGTTTTCCAGGTTTTAAGTTGGGAGATCTTTCAACTCCAATAGTGCAGAGAAAAATATACCTGAGATGCAACTATGGACCAGGTTTCCTTAACATTTTCATTGGGAAATTTTGCTGAGAATTAAAGTGCCAGATATTGAAATGCTTAGCTGACTTCTTTTGTGGTAGGAAAAGTAAAGATGATGTAGAGTAATGTTTCATAGTTTACATACATATTGATGATGTGATATGCGTTACAGTTTAATAGTTGCAGCTTTTCTTGCACTACTTAAGTGCATAAATATGCCTCTTTTATACTTGAGGATTCAAAAATTACAAGTACGGAAAATGGAAACAGTGTCTTCCTTGTGCTGAAAATTGGAGTACTCTTTAGATTACATGCTGCTGACCTAAAGTGTATGCAAGAATACATGTCATGTATTGATTGGATTGATGTAAATATCGGATGTGGTAAAGTTCTTTGTGGCTTGATATACCACGTTTAACAGAGCAGACACAATTAGAATCATCAAAAGTCCCTCTTTAAGGTACCTTACAATTCCAAACCCTCAACCTTCATAAATCCATGGATTAAGCTACTGTTACTCCAGGAGCTTCATATATTACTTACATTTACGACATAGGAGGGAGAGATCAGTGGATTTTATATGGACAAACCGAGATCATTTATTGGAAGTTTCAATTTGATGGGAAGGACAACCCAAGACAACACATAGCTCATTTTGTGAGTTGATTGCAGGTACTTATGTTAATAGTAGTGATAAAGAAATTAAAAAGAAACAAGAATGTATAATTGTTCTTTATGTAAAATGAAAGAAATGTATTGTATATATGTAAAGAACTGTCAATTTCTCTTTTAAATAATTTTCTTACAAATATGTATACTTAAGTCTCTTGATCATATGACATTATTGGAAGGCATGAAAGCCAATATGATAAGAAGTATGAAAATGAAAATAGGGATTAACAACAACATGAATGGTGGTGGTGGCGGCAATGGTGGAAGTATCAATGGAAGAAGTAACAATAATGCAGTAAGACAAATTAGAAACAGCATTGACTCTAAACTGAAATAACTCATGGTAGATGATACATTCCTTTTAGCATATTTCCCTTGTGATGAGAATAATCTTCCATACTCAAAAGTAGTAGTAGTTGTTCCATTGGAGTTTGTCACTTCTTTAACATCCATAATTACTAGGAACGACTTCTCTTGATCAGTACTTTCTCTTGATAATGAATTATTTTCTTCGATTTGAGGGGCGAATTGATGAGTGTGTTGAAGAAAAGAAAAGAAGAAGAAGAAGCAGTTTTAGAGTATTTCCTATTTTTGGTTTGAGATTTATGATAATTATATTTTGTACTAGATCTGTTGTTATTATTATTATATATATACTATGCTTATGTTATATTTGTTGGAAGAGAGAGAGAGAAATAGATGGGAAAATTCAGGTGGGATTCAATGAATTCCCAAATCAAGTGGGGGCAGTTTATTTCCTAGTTGATGTTTCTTGAAAAAGAAATAGGAGAGTTGTCTCCCTTGTCCAAGATTCTTCACCCCTGGGCAATCTTGCTCTCCACACGACTCCAATCGAGTCGAGCTCAATCAAACTTCTTATATTAGTATGACCAAACACATATGTAGACCCTTAAATTTATCCCTAAATTTCATTTTGACACTCCAACTTAATCTTGTTCCATTTTAACCCTTCAACTCTAATTTTTATGTTCCATTTTGGCACTTCTAAGTGATGTGGCAGAGAGTGTGTATCACACATTCTCTAAGAGAGTGAAAGACAAAAAAAAACTATTTTTTTTTAAAATAATAAAAGATTACCCTTCAACTCTATTTCTTTTATGTACCATTTAACACAAAATATTAATTTTATGATTTCTTTATTTCTATATATGATGTACCATTTAAACACAAAATATTATTTTTATGATTTCTTTATTTTTATATATGCTCTTCCACTGCAATTTTGCATTTTAAAAATCGACGATCATCTGTTAATTATTGTAAAAAATTAAAACTGACGGATTATCATTGTTTTTTTATATAAAAAAAGTAACAATTTCTTTTTAAGAGTTTTCCTATATTTTTGCGTGAAAAATAATCGACGAAAGTGCGTCGATTTTCTTTCTTAAGAAAAATCAATGACAACCCAACGAAGTCTATCGAGTTTCAATGTTTTTTTGTAGTGTTATTAATTAGCAATGAACATGAGTTTTTTTTTACTCGTATTTAGTTGAATGAAAAATTAGAAAGCTGATATTTGAGTTATTCCAAGTAGACTAGATACGGAAAAAAAAATATGTGATGTTATTTAAATTAACTAATTGTTTTTTTTAAAAAAACCAACATACTTTCACCGATTATTTTTTTACACAATAATGTACAGAAACTCTAAAAAAAAGATATTTTAAAAAAAAAATGTTCATCCATTATTTTTTAACACAATAATGGCATGTGAAGTACACACATCCCACTTTGTTGATTCTTTGGAAAGAAGTGCCAAAATGGAACATAAAAATTGGAGTTGAAGGGTTAAAATGGAACAAGGTTGAGTTGGAGTGCCAAAATGAAATTTAGGGACAAGTTTAAGGGTCTGCATATGTGTTTGGCCTATTAGTATCACATCGAATTGAATTTGAGTTGAATTTTATTAAAATTTAATCGAGTTTGAGCTTAGATTGAGTTTACTCTTTAATGTTTAGTCTTGCTTAGTGCTATAGTACTAGAAAAAATTAGATGTATAATAAATAGGTTGATTAAGAAAAATATATAGACATTAGTTAAATTGATAACAACATTTAAGTGTGATTGAATTATATACATTATTAGTTAAAATTCAAATTGAACATAGAATAGAATTTTCAGGTCAAAAAAGTAAAATAACAAAATTCCAAAAAGTTGTCTAATAGTATGAAATTTCATTAATTTTTAAATTACATATTGTACAACATATAAAGTAAGATTAAATAATCATGATGTGTATAAAAAAATCAATTACTACATCATATATTGATTTAAAAATACAAATTATAAATTTACTATAATTGTTACATGTATTGACATAATTACTACCTTAATTTAGCTTAATAAATAAATTTTAATTTTAATTTAAAAGAAATCATAACATGATGAAAAGTGAGCCAATCAAGCTAATTTGAATTGAGTCAGAACTGAATTTTAATAATTAAAATTTTGTTGTAGAGTACGGAGCCTGCTAGGCTTGTTCCCCATGCACAACGATGGAGTAGGGAGAAATGATTCGATAGTTTATACGGAAAGTGGTTAAAGTATTATTAAATTAAGCAAAATTTAATAAATATAATCTAATTAATTGGTCCATTTTTTTTTTGTTTATATATATATAGTTTATATTATCAATGTCTATGAGTAATTTTATTTTAATTGATAAAAAGAGATTAAGAAGAAAAAAACATTATTGTCCACTTTTATATTAGTTAAAGAATTTTTTTAAAAAAAAATTAAGAAAAAAATTCTTTAAAATAAATAATTTTTTTGAAAAAAATGTATTTAAAAAGAAAAAAACAATATGCTTATAAAAAAAGGGCATTTTTTTTTACCAAAACGTGTGTGTATATATATATATATATCATGCACTATTAAAAGTTGATGTAAATTCATACGTATTAGATATTTTGGATTTGATGAGGCATGAATATGAAGTTGTCTTAATTTAATAGGGAACATTTTATCTTTAAAGTGAAATTTTTCAATACAAATTTAAATTAGTCAAACTTGGTGAATCCGAAACACCAAAATGGAAAACCAAAAACAATTCCATTCCTTCTGAAACTTGTGTAGAAGAACACAAGTCGAAAATGACTGTCAGCCAAAGTCGAAAACTTCCTAATTTTTGACTTTTCATTTTTCACGTTGTTATCGTTTTCATTTTTGAGCTTTTATGCCTGCGCCTCAAATATTTATATCATAAAAGTTAGTATTTCAAATATAATTGTAAAATGCTCCCTTATCATGTCTCATCAAATTTGAAATCTCTGATACATATCAATTTATATCAACCTTAAATAGTGCATGATATAGTGGAAGACTCAAGATTTTCACTAAGGAGTTCGAAATATAAAAATGTAATGTTTGAATTTTGAACCCTTTAAAGCACGTAGATGGTGTTTGGATTGACTTATTTTAAATTATTTTTGGATACTAAACTCTTTTTTATTTTTAAAAAGTGTTTGAGAAAGACAAAAATGTTGTAAAACAAGAGGAAAATGCAATAATACTTAAACAAGAAAGTAAGGCAAAGTGTGATGGAAAGTATAAAGTTGAGAGCCTTATTTTAATCTCTTCAATTGTGTATTTCTTAAGGGTGAAGAAGACCCTTTTTAAAAGAGGTAGAAATCATTCGTTTACTACCTTAACCAAAATACGTTAGTAATATTTAATTCTTACATTAAATTAATACATGCATTACGTTAGGTTGATGAAAAGAAACATCCATATTAAATGGATTTGTAACACTCCCCCTTGGATGTTTATAGATAATATGCCTCGTTAATACCTGACTAGGAAAAACCCAGTGGGAAAAAGCCTAGTGAAGGAAAAAGAGTACACACATCTTGTAATACGCCTTGAGTGCTGCCTCATTAAAAACCTTACCAGGAAAACCCAATGGGACAAAACCTTGGCTAAGGGAAAAAGAGTACAATGCGTATTTTACTCCCCCTGATGAAAACTTTATTTGATATCTTAGAGACGATGCATTCCAATCTTATATCTTAGCTTCTCAAATGTTGACGTTGGCAATGCCTTAGTGAATAAATCTGCAAGATTATCACTCGAACGAATCTGTTGAACATTTATCTTACCATTTTGTTGAAGATCATGTGTGGAAAAGAACTTAGGTGAAATATGCTTTGTTCGGTCTCCTTTGATATATCCTCCCTTTAATTGAGCTATGCAAGCAACATTATCTTCATACAATATTGCTGGAGTCTTTGTTTGCACAGAAAGACCGCATAATTGCAAAATGTGTTTAGTCATTGATCTCAATCATACACACTCTCGACTAGCTTCACGAATGGCTATTATCTCTGCATGATTTGAAGAAGTAGCAACTATTGTTTGCTTTATCGAACGCCATGATATAGCTGTACCTCCATATGTGAATAAATAGCCTGTCTGAGATCGGGCTTTATGTGGGTCAGACAAATAGCCAGCATCTGCATAACCGATCAATTCTGACTTGGATGCATTAGAATACAACAATCCCATATCAATTGTTCCTTGAAGATATCTGAATGTATGCTTAACACCTTTCCAATGTCTTCTTGTTGGACATGAGCTGAACCTCGCCAATAAACTTACTGCGAAATAAATATCTGGCTGGGTATTGTTGGCTAGGTACATTAGTGCCCCAATAGCACTAAGATATGGTGTTTCATCACCAAGAATCTCTTCATCCTTTTCTTGAGGTCGGAATGGATCTTTATTTATATCAAGAGATCTCACAACCATGATGTTCAAGTCATCAACATAAACAGATATTATTACAAATTCAGATTTTGACCTTCGTATAAAATACAAGGACAAATAGGGTCATTCTTATACCCTTCTTTTAGCAAATATTCGCTAAGACAATTATACCACATTCGCACTGATTGTTTCAATCCATATAAGGATTTCTGAAACTTTATTGAACAACTTTGTTTTCAATTTTCATATGCTTCAGGCACTTTGAGTGCTTCAGGGATTTTCATAAAAATATTGTGGTCTAGTGAGCCATATAAA